GGGTCCTGAACTAGAATCAGACAAGTTTTCACTCTAAATGCCAAGTACTCCGGATCCAAAGTTCACTAGTGGATTATTATTGTTATTATACAAAATAACCCCTTTCAACTCTCAATTCTCAAATTTTCCAGATCCGATGTTCGCTAGTGGATTATTATTATACAAAATAACCCCTTGCCCACTTGCCCTCATTCATCACCCCCCTAAACATGGCCATATCACCCATTGCATCCCCAAACAATTTTTTATAGAGGTGGATGCTCTTATTCATCATCATCATTACCCCAGTGCCGCAAAGGCTCCCACCTACGGTGGGGTAAGAGAGGGTCAGATGTACGCAGCCTTATCCATGTACTAAAGCACCGAGACTGTTTGTGGATGTTCTTATTAGGTTAATAAATTATTGTGGAGCTTCTGTAGTTGAAAGTATTTATACTTTGATGTCATTTTTTGTGAAGTCTGTATAATATTAGTCAATGTTAATGTATCCAAATTGTCTTTCCCTGCAGGTCTGTACATTTACTTTTACAGCATTTTACATTTGAAGCTTCATGAGGAGCATGCTTGCAGTGTATGTGATTTTTGCTGAGCAAAAATCATCATCTTTGGGATATATATTTCCGTGACTTGCCTGAGGGATAGCATTTGTTAGTGTTTTTAACTATTTACAATTCTTTGCTTTGTATACTGTATTCAACACCTGTCTCCTCTCCCTTCACCCCCAGGAACTCTTCTCATCTCGTTTTGGATTTTCAGTTTATTTTTATTGGATGCTAAGACGGGTAGGGGGTGGGTATGCCCTCATCCAAGAGGATCTAATGGGGATTATCTGTAATTGTAAAATGTCTTGGGTGAAGAATGTTCATACGCTGAAGGGGATGTGATATTCACATTGATGGTTGTTTAGGATTAGGATATTATTAAGAAGGCAGATGTGATCTAACTGGGAGTCTGGGACCCCGGTCTATCGGACACGAAGCATGTGATTCCTTCCTAAATGTCAACCGAGATTGTGCAACAGTGTGTATATGAGTGATTACATTTCAGTTAAATTTAAAGCAATTGTAATGTTGGTTTTTGTGCTGTTATTGAGGAATGATGTTTATGATTCAAACTATAACCATATTGAGAGATCAAGTAAGAGCCAGCATTGAATGTGGTGCAAAACATTGCTTTGACTTGTGATTGTGAATCAAAGTACCAAGTCAACGACTCTACAAAACAAGAAGTCAAGAAGGTTCAACTATCAGACTTCAAATTTTAATGTGTAGTAATGGTGAGAAGTTTGTTTAAACTCCACAAAATATTTGTAATATTTTTGAAAATTTGTTTTTGCTATTTTTCATTATATCTAACTATCTAAGTAATCTAACTAGTGACTGTTTCTTTAGATTTCCACATAGGGATTGTTGGTTCCCGACCTATTGGAGTATTGGACTGGTTCCAGGTCGTTCATTTGAGATCATGTCTATGGCGATAAACATTTTTACCATTTCATTTACATAATTACATGTAAAGTTTTTTTTAATGGAAAAACCTTATTGATATATCAATAACACGTAAAACAACCTCTAGAATTGCACAATAATTCACCAATCACTGAACGTGCAAGTAATATACAATAACCAAATAGAAAGACTTGCACCGCAAAGTATCCACACCATGTGTCCAGGTATACCACAATGAAATACTCCCATGTGTCTAGGTATATCGTATACCACAATGAAACACTCCCTATCATCCTGTCTGAAATGATTAAAAACAAAACATAAACAAAATATTGGCATCGTTTGAGAATAAAAATGAAAGTGCCAAAGCGCACATTAATCTTGCATTTTCCCCAGTGTTGGCCTTGGGCCGGGTGGCCCGACCCGGAACCGGCCCGGGACCGGTACTGTGCTGAACTGGCCTGCCCAGTGGCCTGGCCAGTGACCGGTCCGGGGGGCTCCCGGTGCGGGCTCGGGTCACCCAAAAGCCGAACCGGCCTGGCTGGTTCAGGCCCGATTCCGGGCTTTTTATTTTTATTTTTCAATTTTTTTTAACTTTTCGGGTTGGGCTGGGTATTTCACTATTTTGGGCCATTTGGATTGGGGGGGGGGGGTGTTAATTAAGAAAAGGAAAAAAAAATAAAAAATAAAATGACCCGAGGCCTGGACCCGGTGGCTACCCGGGCCGGTCCCGGTTCATCCTTCCCAACAAAAAAGCCCAGTCGGGCCTGGCCCGGAACCGGCCCGGCCCGGGTCCATGACTAATTTTCCCCAATGAGCTTGTTAACCAACGCTCTCCCCAATCTTGTTTTCTCTTTCATTATTTTCCAACTCCATCATTGTTTATGCGCCTGTTGACTGTTGTTGACTCTTCTTCCACAGTTCTGCTCGACATTACTTTTGTTTTGCCACTTGTGCCTTTTGCCCGCTTCCCATTTATTCTAGACTCGCCTGCATGGAAGCAGGGGTGGACCCGGGCCGGTTCCGGTTCGGGCCTGGGCCCGGCCGGGCTTTTATTTAGGAAAGGTGGAACCGGAACCGGCCCGGGTAGCCGGCGGTTCCGGGCCGGGCCCAAACCGGACCGGTTCCGGTTCGGGCTTATTTTTTTTTTAATTTTATTTTGCTTTTGTAATCAACTCCCGACCCCCCCTCACCCCCACCCCCAAACCCCCCAAAACACCCAACCCAACCCGGTAGAATAAAAAAATTGAAAAAACAAAAAAAAAATAAAATTAGGCACGAACCGGACCCGGACCGGCCGGGCTGGTTCGCATTTTTGGGGGCCCGAGCCCGCACCGGGAACTGACCGGATACCGGGCCGGGCCCAAACAGTACCCGACCGGGCCGCCCGGCCCGAGTCCACCCCTACATGGAAGATAGAAGCAGGTTCTATTAGGGTTCTCAATAATATGGATCCTTGCGTGTCCGTCACCTTGTTTATCCCTTAGTTATTATTCTTTTTCAGAATCAGCCACTTGTTCCCTTTCACCACATTGTCCGTCACATTGTTTGCTCTCATTCACGGCTAGGGGTGGAGCCGAGCCGGTTTGTGCCGGCGGTTCAGGAATGGGGGGCCCGGGATCGGCCCGGGTAATCCCCGGGTCCGGGTCGGGCCTCGGGTAATTGCTATTTTTTTCCCCTTTTCCTAGTTAATCCCCAACCCTCCCCCCTCACCCCCAAACCACCCCAAATGGCCCAAAATACCCAGCCCAACCCGAAAAGTAAAAAAATTTGAAAAAAAATTAAAACAGGCCCGGTACCCGGCCCGAACTTGCCGGGCCGGTTCGCCAAAACCACGACCCGAGCCTGGACACGCCCTCCCCCACGGGCCTAGGCCCGACCCGGACCCTGGACCCAAGAACCGGGCCGGTCCCAGTCCCGCACAGTAACGGGCCGAGTGGCTCGACCCGAATCCACCCCTATTCATGGCCCGAACTCATTGGGTTACTCCGAGTTGGATTTTTAGAACCTGAAGACAAAACTTATGTACATGGCGAATAATACCACATGCCAATCAAAAGTTGGGAGATTTTCATACACCAAAAAACAGATGCCATTTTCTTTTTGAACTTTCATGTTCTTAAGATAGTCATGGACCCGGGTCGGGCCGGGCCGGGCTGGGCTTGTTTTTTGGGAAGGATGAACCGGGACAGGCCCAGGCCTCGGGTCATTTTTTTAACAGGCCCTCTATGGACAGAATACTAGTGTTGATGAGGATTGACACCAAAAAACAGATGCCATTTTCTTTTTGAACTTTCATCTTGTCATTTTTTCAAATATTTCATTTTTTTTTTATATTTTATTAGGATCAAATAAGTCATATTTAAGAATGAACTAGGTTAGGGGTACTAAGGGTACAAAATTAATGTTTACTCCTATTGAAGGAAATTTTAAGTTTTACTCCTATTTGTGCAATTATGTTTATGTTTACACGTATATTGGACAATTTCTCATATATATATATATATATATATATATATATATATATATATATATATATATATATATATATATATATATATATATATATATATATATATATATATATATATATAGAGGAATGATCCTGTCCAGCCGGAGGGACAGGATCTTCCGTCCGGCCGCCGCCGTTTGGGGCGGTTCCCGGTGGAGTTTTTTGATGAAATTTTTATGGAATGTTCCTCATCAAGTCTAGTTTATACACAAACAATTTCAGCTAAAAATTCGATCGGGAAGGCAGTCAAATAATTTTTTGAAGATAACTGCTCCAACTTAAACATATAAAACGCAGTTATGTTTCAAAAAATTATTTGACTGCCTTCCCGATCGAATTTTTAGCTGAAATTTTTTGTGGATAAACTAGACTTGATGAGGAACATTCCATAAAAATTTCATCAAAAAACTCCACCGGGAACCGCCCCAAACGGCGGCGGCCGGACGGAAGATCCTGTCCCTCCGGCTGGACAGGATCTTTTCCGTATATATATATATATATATATATATATATATATATATATATATATATATATATATATATATATATATATATATATATATATATATATATATAAGAGGAATTTTTTAAGAGCATACGGAGTGCCACATAACCCTGCCATGCCATCATTATTTTAATTTACGTATTTATAATTTTGGCCAAATTAATTTGGAAAGAAATAGGAAGAGAATGTAAAAACATATATTCGGAATCACTATTCGTATGTCATAAATTGGAATCATATCTAAAAATGTCGTATGGCAAGATTAAAATGGAATAATTTAAGGCTTTACGTATATTTTGGGATCACTATTCGTATGTCATATTTTAGGTTTCTATATTCGGAATTTTAGGTTTCTATTTTTCGTTCAAAAAATATTCGGAATTTAAAAACATAAAAATTACATAGAGTTGAACACTTGATAATATTATAAAAAGGAAGAAAATGTAAATACTTCTGATCAAGTAGCTTACCTTATTTAATAAGGATGAAAATTGATATCATACATTTTTTTTTACCCCGGAAGGTCAACCACCAAAATCAGTGGGGTAAATGCCGGGGGACATTTACCAGTATTTTATTAAAAAAAAACGAAGAGAGCACAATAGAAGAGGGGGACTATACCAATACCTCTTCAAAGAAGGCATACCTTCTCAAAATACAATGTAAAAATCAAATGAATTAAAGTAAATGAAATGGATTGAGGGGGCTAGACCTGACCCGATCCAAAAAAGAGCAACAAGTAACAAAGCTGAGTAAATAAACGAGGCCCATAAAAGATAGTCTAACAAAGCCAGCCCAAAGTCGTCCGACCCAAGAATAAACGGTCTGAACCCAAGCATACTTTCCTATTCGGTGCAGACAAATCAGGCAACCCTAAGAACCGGGTATCCAACATTGTTCAGGTGAATGATACCTCTAATTCGAGATGGGAGTTCTGAAATGTGCTGATAGATCTTCGTGGACTGGACAAAGAAGAATTCCTGAGGAATATAGTGTGCAGCTTCATTAGCTTCCGTGTAACAATGAGAGAAGGTGAAATTCCGACTCGTTGCAATGTTACGAATAGGTGTGGAGAGGTTAGGAAAGCATGAGGTATTTTCTTGTCTAAGGATACTTATGGCAGCAAATGAATCAGATTCGATTTCAACGTTAGCATAACCAGCCGTGTTCAACCAATGTGTAGGAACAAAGATGGCTGACAGTTCTGCTTCTAGAACTGTTTGGGCTTGGAGAGGAAAGCACCCTGCAAAGATTAGGTTACCGGTTTCATCACGAAGGATGGACCCACCTGAGAAAGAATGGTGTCTGAAAGCAGCATCAGTATTCATTTTGAAGGTACCCTTAGGTTTCTTCCAATTTATCCTTAGGAATCGTGGTATATGAGCTCCCTTGTTATTAGGAAGAAGTCTTTCCTGAATAATGTAGTTAGGAGCCATACTTCCTTTAGGATATTTCATTCCTGAAGCCCATTGGTATATATAATCTTTAATATGCTTCATAAGTGTTTCTGTACTAAAATCAGTAGAAAGGTTATCCCATGAGTAAGAGGCAAAGACTTTCCAGATGTGCCACAGGATAATACCTGGAATATTATGTTTACAGACATCCATAATTGATTTAGTACCAGCTTCTAGCCACCAAGCAAAGCAAACTTGTCTGTGGGAAACCCTACTGTTAGGAATAGGTATCAAAAAGAGTCTCATAAAGTATTCCCATATATGCTTGATCTTAGGACAATAGTAGAATATATGAGGGGTTGTAATATTGTCCATCTTACAGAAAGGACATTGTGTGGGAAAGACACAAATTTGAAATTTGCAGACATTTTCAGGTAGAGGTAAGATGTTATTAAAGAGTTTCCACATGAAAAGTTTAATAGGGGGAAACTGTTTAGGATGCCAGATATGTTTGTGAGAAAAAGTAACTGACTGAGTATTTCTAACAATGTCAAATGCAGAGGACAAAGTGAAACTTCCATCCTGACATGGAGTCCAGACATTGTGGCCATCAACAACATCAGTCAATTCAAGACCTTGGGAATGAGTTTGGCAGATTCGCTTCCATATAGGAGAGTCAGGTAATTTAGCAGTCATATTCTCACCTCTAGGGTACCTAGCATGCATAAAATTGGCCCAGAGAGTTTTATTATTAAACCAGTTCCACCAAACTTTGAGTGAGAAGGCAGATTGAATGTCTTCCAGAGATCTAACCCCAAGACCTCCTTCTTCAAAGGGGTAACAAAGTTTTCTCCAACTTAACCAATGATATTTATGGGTGCCATTAGTTGATCCCCAGAAAAATGATGCTAACTTCCTCTCCAGTATTCTGATAACACTCTGAGGAAGTTTAGAAACAGCCATTGTATGCAAGGGGATAGTTGTTAAAACATGCTTGATGAGTATCAACCTACCACTCTGCGATAAAATCTTCTTTCTCCAATTTGATAACTTCCTATCAAAATGAGAGATTAAATCAGTGCAGAATTTGAGCCTGTTAATCCCCTGATGTAAGTGAACCCCCAAGTATTTGATAGGAAGCTTAAAGACCTTCATAGGCAGTAATTCCTTTACATGTTCAATTCTGCTTTCAGGAAAATGCTTACCCACAATAAATTGACTTTTGTTGTAATTGACAGTCTGCCCAGAAGCAAGCTGATAATCAGAAAGGAATTTTTTAAAATTCAGCAGAGATCTTGCACTACCATTGAGGAACAACAGTAAGTCATCAGCATATGTAACACCGTCCCCAAATATATTTACTTCTATGTAAATAATGTATTGAACCTTATTAAAGGATTAATGAATTTACGAAGTTGTAAATTTTTGTTATTTTCTTTCGCGTGAATAGTAAATTGCACGTGGGGCCCACATCGGGAGCGGGGACCACCCAACATTCCCGAGACCACATATTTTATTCATCTTGGTCAAGATAATATTTATATGGTGGTGGATATTTTACTTGGGTCGTGGAAAGGCCCTGTGTTGGCCGATTGGGCAAAAGAAGCCCAAATGCCGGTACCGACAATTTAACGGATAACAGCCCGAAAATGAATTTCGGAGACTTCTAAATTAATGTTTTGGAATACATATTATTTCAAAGGGCCATTACGATTGAGAACACATAATATATTTTATTGGACCCGATAAAATAAAATATATTTAAAACAGTCCGAAAAATACAATTTTCGGGACCGATTGTACACATCGGGACACAAAGGGATGACCTCCCACATGAGTGGGGGCCACCCCACGTTTTTTTTGTGCTCAATTAGACAAAGGGGAGCTGGATATGATAAAGGAAGGTGTGGAGGAGGAGGCTTTGGCATCAAAGTACAAGGATGACCCCTCACCCATCACACATTTTGTCATTTGAGACAAAATAAACCACTCCCTCTCACCCCTATCACCAAGATCGACCAAGACCTCAAGAAAAGAAGAGGAAAAGCTCTCAAAACCACCTCCATTGTTGCAGCACGAGCTCAAGAGAAATTGGTCCAAGGAAGGAGGTTTGAGAAGGAAAAAGTTAGGAAAAGTGTGAATAATTAAGGTAATGACCTTGTTATAACTTCTCCTTCATTCTTCTTTTACCATATGAGGTATATATCATGTAGACAACCTTTAGTATGGTTCCATATGTCACAAGTATGGATTCATGGGTTGAAAGGTGGCTCTACGTCCAAGAACGGACTTAGAAGCCAAAAACGACCGGTTCACCGGAAAATAACCTTTTATAGGTTATTTGTATTGATTAAGGTTTTATGATGTTAAAACCTTGTTAGGAACTTGTGAAAGGTATTTCAAGTGATTTCACAAAGTTGGAAAAGTCGCCGGAGTTGTCGCCGGAGTTGACCAAAAGTCACCGGAGTTTCACCGGAGTTCAACCAAGAAGGGTAGAACTTCTTAACGCTAGTTCAAGGTGAGTGGACGGCTTAATATCTTATAACTTTTGGGTTAATTATAAGATTACCTAAATAAATGTTATATGAATTCATAATGATGTTTAAAAGATATTTAAACATGTGATTAGCCAATAGGGTTAAGTTTGTATGAAAGAAATAGATTGTTTATGCATAGAATATGATATGAAGAATTATATAGAATGCATATTTGCTTGAAGTGTATTAGAAGCACAAATGAATATTTTAACTTAATTATGTGATGATTAAGTTGATTTGTACAAGGTTTGTAATGGCGGTCAACGACCACGTTGACCGGTGGATAATGGATTAATTAATACCGGTCGATATTAATTAATTGTACATTTACATAATTGCATGGCTTTGCATGGAATGTGATACATAAGTTTTATGTATTGAATTAGTTATGAATGACTAAATATGATATAGACCCTATCTAGCGTGATATGTGGGTAAGTCATAGGTCGGGTGGAGTACCCAAGGATCGGGCGGTTATCCTCAAAACTCGGTTATATAGGGTGGAGTACCCAAGGATCGGGCGGTTATCCTCAAAACTCGGTTATATAGGGTGGAGTACCCAAGGATCGGGCGGTTATCCTCAAAACTCGGTTATATAGGGTGGAGTACCCAAGGATCGGGCGGTTATCCTCAAAACTCGGTTATATAGGGTGGAGTACCCAAGGATCGGGCGGTTATCCTCAAAACTCAATTATAGGGTGGAGTACCCAAGGATCGGGCGTGTATCCTCAAAACTCATAGATTACATTTAATGATCTAGGACCGGGCGGTGTCCTTATGATAATTTATTTGACCAAGGAGGAGTTCTATACACTCATAGGTATATGGGTGGGTTGGGATTTAAGTCAAGGATATTGACTACTATTATTTTCCCAAATAAATAATGACCTACGGGTCGGGTATTTCCAAGTGTATGTATACTAATATGTATTTCAAACTTGGGGGAAGGACTATACGTATATGTATCATCCTATGTTTGGGTCTTATACTTGAAACGCTAGTTATTCTATATTTAGCCTGCTACTCGCTCGGTACTTGTACTGACCCCTTCGGGGGGCCCCACCATTTTCAGGTTGAAGCTAGGGCTTGCTACCTGCACCTTTCTACGGGTGACATCAATCAAGGAAGACGTGGTTCGTGCTTCCTCATTTTATTTCAAATTACCAAACATTGCTCATGGATATTTTTATTGTCATAAACTATTCTTTTGGGGCTTGCATGCCCATGATATTGGCCGGTTGTGGCTTATGACTTACCGTTGAATATTTCCGCTATTCATTGGTTTAAATGTGATGTTGTTATGTATGTTTACCACTGAGTATGGATGGATTATTTTCTCGAACGCCTTGTGTAATCAAGTGAGGTTGACTCGCGGGTGACGTCACTTGATTATGCGGCGGTTGTACACGCGCTTGGATTGCGGTCTGGGGCGTGACAGCATATCCCAGATGGGAAACAATTGGGGCATTCCTACTAACCATATAAGGTAAAATCTGTCCTTGATGAATAAGTTGATTCAAACCCCTTGAGAACACCTCAGATGCCATGATGAAAAGATAAGGGGATAGAGGATCCCCTGTTTGACCCCCCTAGTAGGCTTAAAAAAACCATGTGAAGTCCCATTCACCATAACAGACATATAAGTCGCATTAAGATTGTTCATGATAATATTAATGAAATGATTTGAGAAACCAAATCTATCAAGAACTTCTTTAAGAAATGACCATGAAACTTTATCAAAGGCTTTGGCCATGTCTAATTTTATAGCTACATTACTACCTCTTACCTTTTTATCAATCATATGCATCAACTCTTGAGCCAGTAGAATATGTCCACCAATATCTCTATTTTGAAGAAAGCCAATCTGTTCTTTAGAAATTATTTTGGATAGAATAGAGCTGAGCCTGGTAGTGAGTACTCTAGTGCAGACTTTGCTAATAAAAGTGGAAAGGCAGATGAGCCTGAATTCTGTGAAATTCTTGGGCCTGTCCACTTTAGGAATCAAGGTAATTGTAGTGCTTCCCATGGCCTTAGGAATGGGGGAGCATAGAAAAAAGTCTTGCACTGCAGAGACCACATCAGCCTTCACAATCTCCCAACAACTTCTAAAAAACTTTCCATTATAGCCATCTGGCCCTGCTGCACTATTGTGGTTTAAGCTCCAAACTGCCTCTTTGACTTCCCCCTCCAAGGGAATTGTTGTTAACATTAGATTATCCTCCTGAGTAATAAGATGAGGAATGTAATTCAGCACATTTCCTAACTCAGTTGAATTATTCAAGCTGTCTTGATTTGAAAAAACTCCTTCATAATAATGAGCTGCAGCCTGCCCAATTTGCTCAGGGTCAGAAATCCAGGTACCATCTTCCTTTTGTATTGCAGAAATTTGATTTCTTTTGTATCTTCCTTTTACAAAGTTATGGAAGGTTTTAGTGTTGCTATCTCCACCTTTAAGCCACTTTATTCTAGCTCTTTGCTTCCAGAATTGTTTCTCCTGCTTATAGGCCAGAACAAGTTGGGCCTGGGCCTCATGCCAACTGGATCTAGTAACCTCATCAGGTTGTGCTTCAAATCTCCTTTCTGCTTCCTCAGCTTTATTTTCCAAATTCTTAACCTTTTCAAAAACATTACCAAAAACTGCATGGTTCCAATCCTTCAAATCTTTCTTAAGAGTTTTAAGTTTAATAAAGAGGCCTCTCATACCACCCCCATGATTATATAAGTTCCAGCTCTTTGTAACCAACTCTTTGAAGCTAGGATGAGTAATCCACATATTTTGAAAACGAAAAGGCTTAGGACCAGAGATCTGAGAAGGCTTACACTTCAATAAAATGGGAGTATGATCAGAAGAAGACTTATTCAAATGTTGAATAATAATACTGCTAAACAAATCTTGAAAATCAGAATTAACAAGAATTCTATCTAACCTTCTCCAGACTCTACCATTACTTCTGACTCCAGTCCAAGTAAATTGGCTACCAATCCAAGGTAAATCAATAAGCTCACAATGAGCTATACAATTATTAAAATCCTCCATGCTATCCAAGGGGGGAATGGAATTTCCTTTGTGCTCATTATATGAAGTGATTGCATTGAAGTCCCCCCCAATCACCCAAGGGCCAGGATTATTGCTATACCAATCATTAAGAAAAGACCACAACTCCTTTCTCTCTAAAACAGTGCATTTGCCATAGATAGAGGTAATCCAAAAAGATGAAGCTCCCAAGGTCACAAAGCAATGAATTAACTGCTCTCTATGAGTGAAATGAGAAACAGAAATCGTAGAAGAATTCCAAAAAAGCCAAATTTTACCAGAAGGATGTAAAAAACAGTTTGAGAAACCAAGATCTCTCATATAGTCTTCGCCTTTAGAGTTATCAATCATAGGTTCTAGAACAGCAACAAAATGAATGTCCCTCTGCCTAATTAAGCTAGAGAGTCTTGGGCAGGAGGAAGCAAGACCTCTAGTATTCCAGAAAAGACAATTCATGGGGAAACAGGGAGAGAAGCCTGTGATAGCCTCCTGGCTGCAAGTCTGGTCATTATGGATGAGGCTTCCGGGGGGATTCTAGGTTGTCTTTTTTTCCTAGCCACCACTATAAAGGCGTCATTAGGATCTAAGGATGTCCTATCCGGATCTGTGAGCGCCACATTGGGATCTGTGGGGTTGAGATCATCTTGGGCCTGATTGACAGTTTGTGTCTGTGCTTCTAATTCTGCCTTTTGATGAACTATGTTTGCAACTTTCTTTTGCAGGGAAGGTAGTTCCTCCAGCCAGGTATCTAGGTCACCAATCTGTGAAGAGTTGTCCCCATCTGAAGCATAGCCTTTATGTAGTAATGAGGAATCATATTCCAAGCTGGATTTGATTTGATGGAGATTGGTGTCATCTGATGGAGAAACAATATCTGTCTTGCTGGAAGGAACCAATCCAGGTAACTCCATTGTAAGAAGCTGCTTATTGGAGTATGTTGTTTTCTGGGAAATCTTGACTGACTTAATAAGTGGTTCATCTACATGAGTGTGACCCTGAGTGTTTTCCTGAGTGTTTGGAGGCACCTCATGGAATACTTCTTCTGTATCAGCGTCAGAGTCATCCTGCAGAGCATTTTGACTAGTAGATGGAGTCTTGGATGTGGATGGAGCTGACTGAAGGGACTTGGAAACTGTTGGATTAAATACTACAATGGCTTTTCCTTTCTCTTTTCCTGGGTTTTTATAGCCTTTAGTCTGCTCCGCAGCTATACTTATTCCTTGTTGATTTGTAGATTATGTCTTGTTGGCTTTTGCAACCCACTGAGAGGTTGTCTGGTTTTTTTGCTTGTTATCATGCTGACTGATTACTTGTTGAGTAGATGTTGGAGGCTTAGAAGCCTCTTCCACCAATTTTTTAGGACATTTGCTTGCTTCATGTCCTAAGTGTAGACATGAAAGGCAGTATGGTGGTCTATTTTCATAAATGACTTCCTGAACAAAGCCCATATTCCTTGCCTGTATCCAGACCTTGTTAGGCATTTCTTTAGTAAGGTCTAATTCAACACACACCCGTGCTACAGAAGGCCTGGCTAAGGTAGTAGTAGCAATATCCAGCTTTAAGGGTTTACCAATTAAACTAGCAATAACAAACATCGCCCTCTTATCATGTATATGTATTGGTAACCCCTCAAAAGCTAGCCATACCGGAACCACAGGGGATTCAACATTAGGCTTGAAATCCGGGGACCACTTGGTCACCCTCATAATGTTGCCATGAATATCCCACGTCTGGCGATTCCAACAGCGGATATAATCTTCTTCAAGATCAAAACGAATAAGAACATGCTTTTTCTCCAACAAGCCTAAATGAAAACCCCCTTTAAATCCAATGATATCAAAAGACTTGCGAAGCGTAGTCATAGGGGGCCGGCCCTTGAAGAAATATCCAACCAACGAACACTTATGTTTATCTGCCAAAATCTGTGCGTCCTCTTCAGAGATACTCGCAGATGGCATGCCTTTGTACCGAGAAAAGGAAGCTGAAGAAAGAGATGCATCGGTATTGTTCAGAAGGACCGAAACAAAAGATTTCTTGTTTGCTGCCCAAGCCCCTTGCAATGGTGGTGGCTGCGCCGGCGACGGCAAGGCCGTCCGCTTAGGGTTTTCCGTCATAGAGCTGATCCCCTGTTTCTGATATCATACATAAATACATACATGTATGTATGTTTTCACAAGTAAATACATTTACGCCTAGCCAAAAAAGTAAATATGTTTGGTTATTTATTTATTTTACAACTACAATTTAGACGTGCCTTGACTTTTGAAATAGATTCCTAATCCAAATTAGAAAATCTTTACATGTTCAGAAATACCTACTTTTATTTTAAAAGAATTTTTTCCATTGAATTGATTTCAGTTCCAGATTAAATCAGATCAGATCAAAATTTAATAATAATAATAATAATAATAATAATAAGTCACATAAAATGTAAAAGAAACATCTACCAGAACATATTAATTCATACCAAATCAAACCCAAAATTTTAATTCAATTAAAGACGTCCTTATTAATGAGTAAAATGTAAGATCTCACAATTAAATTTTAAAATGTGTATTTCATACCAAGTTGAATGAGAAATACTAGAAAAGTATCATTTTTAAATGCTCAATTTAAGTAATTTAGATGTTCATAAGAATTAAAAATAGTTTTCAATATAACAAAATAATGAGTAAAATGTTAAAAAAACTCCATTTTTTACATTTACAGCGTGACAAAACAATGAGTAAAATGTAACATCTTATTATTAAAAGTTAAAAGTATGCACTCAGTATTTCATATCAAGTTGAATAAGGAATAGTAGAAGAAAAAGCTTGAGGTGCATATTAAAATAATTTAGAGGACATGAGATTATGAATTCTTTAAAATCGAGTTCATAACAATTATATTTATTTGAAATGCTTATGTAGAAGATCAATTTAACTATTTTTCATATAATCTTTTCTTGGCTTCACAAATGGAATATATTTTACATATTTTTCATGATTCAGGAGATTCACTTATTCAGCCCATTCAGCCAGAATATAATCAATTTCAGTAAATAAGTTAATTTGATTTATTTTAGTATTATCAAACAGGCTCTATATTAGACTAAGTTTATTTTTCTTTAAAATCACATTACCTATGATCCGAAAGAAATCAAATTTCAAATTAGCTAAATTACATAATGTCCGTGCATCGCACGGGCTTGAAAGCTAGTTATATAAATAAATCGATGAATTGTGGAAAAAACTTTAATAAAATAAGTATTA